GAGAGACGGGTCAAGAGAGTGGGAGAGAGACAGGGTGCGAGAGAGAGACAGCGTGTGAGATTGGCAGCGTGCGAGTGAGAGGAGAGAGACAGCGTGCGAGAGAGAGGAGACAGACAGGGTGCGAGAGAGAGACAGCGTGCGGGAGAGGAGACAGCTTGCGAGAGACAGAGACAGCATGGGAGACTTTTACAGGAGACAGCGTGCGAGAGCGAGCGAGAGAGACAGCGTGCGAGACAGAGAGAAAGGAGAGAGACAGGGTGCGAGAGACAGAGACAGCGAGCGAGAGAGACAGCGAGCGAGAGAGACAGCGTGCGAGAGAGAGAGGATAGAGACAGGGTGCGAGAGAGAGGAGAGAGACAGCGTGCGAGCGAGCGAGCGAGAGAGCGGAGCTACCGATCGAGGACGAGCGTCCAGGGCGCGGACAGTCCACCCGCGCGGAGCCCCTCGGCCTTCAGCTCGGCGAAGAGCTGCGTGAAGAAGTGCGGCTCCGAGTTGAGGCGCAGCATCTGCGCGCTGCACCGGGAGATCACCCCGAGGCACCGCTCCCAAAAGTCGTCGCGCCTCCCCCCGCCGCCGCCGCTGCTGCCCCCCTCGCCGAGGAAGGGCTTGAGCGGGTAGGAGATCTCGCTGCCCATGTACGAGTAGGAGAGGTAGAGGCAGGTGAGCAGCGTGGCGCGCAGCTCAGACTCGGTGGCCAGCGACTCGGCCACCGAGTCGCGGCAGAGCAGGTAGAGGAAGACGACGTTGGAGGGCGTCATGAAGCACTGCTCCTGCCATCCCTGCAACAGCAGAGCGCGGTCCACCGCGCGGAGCCACAGGCTCGGCTCGGTGGGCGACAGCTGCTTGAGGCGGTAGCAGCGGCGGCACAGGAACTCGCCCAGACACCGGAGCAGCTCCGCCGTGGACGCCTGCACGACCACGCGTCGCGGAGTGGCCGAGATGGGCAACGACCCCGCCGAGGGGCAGCCGCCGTGGCCGCTGCCCTTCTTGGAGGAGGGCAGGGTGGACGCCGAGGCGGGCAGCGATGATGCCAACAACTGCGGTGGCGGCAGGGGCAGTCGCACGAGATGGCCGTGAGGCTGCTGCTGCTGCTGTTGTTGTTGTTGGTGGTGGTGTTGTTGTTGCTGGTGTTGTTGCTGCTGGTGGTGGTGGTGGTTGGCAATCCGCATGGAGTTGTTGTGGAGCGGCGCTCCTCCGTTCTCGTTGTTGTTGTTGTTGCTGCCAACGCCGCACGGGTTCGCGGCCGGGTTCGCCTTCTTGGCGTTCTTCTTGCGCGTGGAGGCGGCGACCAGCGTCTTCCAGGCTTGGCCCGGCGTGAAGATGGAGTGGCGCTTCAGGGCCTTCTCCTTGGGCTTCTTGCCGAGCTGGGGAGCCGCCGAGATCCCCTTGGGACCCCCGCCGCCACCGCCGCCGCCTTGCTTCGCGTGGACCCCCTTGCCGGGTCCCGAGGGGGACAGCGAGAGGGAGGTGCCCATGGTCTCGACTCGGCCGAGGGATCTCAAGATGAGTCGAGGAGGAGGCCGGAGGTTAGAGGGCGAGGCGGAGGAGGCGAGAGGGTGGACGAGATGGCAGGGTGGAGGAGTCAGAGATCAGAGGAACGTGGGTGGAGGAGGAGGGGAGGGGGGGGTGGACGAAATCGATGGAGGAGCGAGAACGAAGGGCACGCCTCGTCGTCCTCGTCCTCCTCCTCCTGCTCCCCGCAGAAGGAGGGAAGGATGGAGACGCATGGGGGGTGCAGAGTCGCCTAGGAGATTCGCCGAGGAGAGTTGTTGTCCTCCTCCTCCTCCACCCCGCCCCTCACTCTCACCGCGCCCGGCAATGGGAATTTCTCCGGGCGGGACGCGTGGGCAGAGAGCGAGACGGCATCTCCCTCGTCCTCCTCCTCCTGCTGATGTGTTATTTTCTCCAGCACCTCTCCTCCCTCCTCCTCCTGCTGATGTTTTATTTTCTCCAGTACATCGTCTTCCTCGTCTCCCTCCTCCTGCTGCTGCTGCTCCGCGTGCTGCTGCCCGGCTCGGCACCCAACCCAGGTCTGCATCACCCGGCGTGACGTCAGCCGCCCATGTTGCCAGGCCCCGCCCCTTCCCCCCTGCTTAGCTGTAGCCCCCGCCCCTTTTTGTGCATAAATTATGCAAATTAGCGCGGGACCGCGGCGCGCGATTTGCCGCAAGGCGACAGCTGCTGCTGCTGCTGGGAGCGGAGACGCGCGGGGGAGGGGGGGGATGCCGCAGAGAGGGAGGGAGACGGTGATGAAAGAGTGGGAGGGAGATGGGAGCGTGGGAGGGAGATGGGAGAGTGGGAGGATGACGGGAGAGTGGGAGATGGGAGCGTGGGAGGGAGATGGGAGCGTGGGAGGGAGATGGGAGAGTGGGAGGGAGATGGGAGAGTGGGAGGATGACGGGAGAGTGGGAGATGGGAGCGTGGGAGGGAGATGGGAGAGTGGGAGGATGACGGGAGAGTGGGAGGATGACGGGAGAGTGGGAGATGGGAGCGTGGGAGGGAGATGGGAGAGTGGGAGGATGACGGGAGAGTGGGAGATGGGAGCGTGGGAGGGAGATGGGAGCGTGGGAGGGAGATGGGAGAGTGGGTGGGAGATGGATGGGAGGGAGTGGATGCCGCAGATGTTCGCGCCACCAACCTGACAATCCGCATTCGATTTCAGCTCACGGCCAACATCAGTGACGATGATCTGAACCAGTCATGGGCCTTCCCCAATGGTTCGACTCAACCGTCAAAATGAATACCTGGCGCGGTGTGCATTATCAAACATGAAAAACTGGGGAGACAAAGGCGGCCGGGCGTGGTGCTGGCCACCCCACGTC